GCTGCATGTCTAATCCTGAAGAAGAGCTGGTTGGTGGGCAACAGTGGACCAACTTTTCCTTCTCATCCACCGAAACCGGCACCGCCGAATCACCACCGCTAACGAAGATTGCCCCGGGTCAAAGACGTGAATACCTGATCATTGGCAGGAACTACTCTATTTGCAAGTTCCAGTCGACGCTCGACGTGATGTATCACCGCCTGCGTGCTCCCACGACGGGGCAATGGCGACCTGCTCCGCCAAAGTCTAGAGAGGAGGTCAGAAAACGGTTTTCTAACGTTGGCCATCCGGATGCCTCTAGTCTGTCGATGGGTTTTGTGCGGGCAAGACCAGGTGAGTCATCATCCTAAGGGGTGGTTTTATTTGAATTCTTATTATCCCGTTTGAGATCAGCAGCTACCACGATTTACGTTCTGTGAATATTCCCATGCTACATTTAAAAGGTCAGTTGAAAAACTCATGTTTTCGGTGATTAATCATCGGGCCATTCAAATCACATGGAAAATTAATTTGTATGTTACGCACAGGGTTTGTATGTATCTCGTGGTGGAGAGGAATAAAGGGTTAGTCACATTCTTCGGCCAACAAAGGCGGACAAAATATGCCTCGGATTTGCTAACCGAATAGTCACTGCTTTAGCCGTTACTAGAATCAGTTGGCATGAACCTTTGAATTAATTAGCTGGTACCCGGTAGGCAATCAGAATGGCGTCTTTAAAGTCACGGTGGTGTTTCATATCGATAAGAGAACTTTAAATCAATCGTTTTTCTCCTTAACCTGGCCGAACATGTAGATGTTCGTGTTGCCTTTTTCTCCGACTCCTCGTCGCACGGCCAATATGTCCTGCGTTACACGAGTAGGTCAATGAATAAATACGCATCAATGTGGCCTGCGATAACAGTCAGTCTTAATCCTTTCCCCATACAGCTGTAGGAGGGCATAGTTCGCCAAAAGTACCCGTAAGTTCGCTACAGAGGAAGCGCGCGCGTGATAACTGCAAACATTTTATTCTCTCAGACTAAAGTACAACTTTTATCAGGCGTCACACCTATCAAGATCAGACGCATGACTGATAGTGTTACTTTTTTTCTTATTGTGCCATCGTTAAGCATGACCGTGCCAGGTTTTGAATGAAAGTCTCAGAGGTATTTTTCCAGTTGACATCACATTTAAGCAGGTGTTCCCCGAGTACCGTAATCACTGAAACGCTCTCTTTGAGCATTAAAGTCTACACAGTCTTTGTCGGTAATGCCTGTCAGGCCGAGAATTGTTTGCCAGCTTATCCTTGTGACTAGTTTTCTTCACAACATTAGCTTTTGCAGGCGTCAAGTCAAGTCATAGTAGTTAAGAAATGCATCGGCACGGCCGAACATTTTAAAAGAAGTTCGTTTACATAATTATAGGAGAATAATCACTTGTTCCAAGTAATACAATCACATGTGGTGATGTCAGTTAACACGAGCCAGCAAGTGTAACTGAGGAAAAATAGCAGACCGTAAAAAAAACTCCTGAGGCGCATGGCTCAGAATTCAAAAAATGGAATGTCATTTGTGGTTTTTTAGGAGAAAAACTGTCGCTCGTGTGGGGGGGGAGTAAGTA